AAATCCTTACCACCTTAATAAGCATTATTTTTAGTAAAACAAATAAAATATCAATTTTTTATGTGAGAATCTGCACAAAAATAATATGCACCCAAAGTATATCATAAAAGCACTCTATAACTTATAATGGAAGAGTCATCTTTCTTTGTGCAATAACAATTTCATACACATCAACATGCTTCCATATCTATTTTTGTGAACTCCAAAATCCAAATTTTTAGAATTGGAAATCTAGGATTTTCCTAATAATATTTAGAATTTGAAATTATGTGATTTAAAATATATATTAGAATTGAAGCTTAAAATTTCAAATGAATTCTAGATTTCCAAACACTACCGGAGAATTTTTAGACCTCTTCTTATTTACATTAGTTATAATCTAACTTAAAAATAATTTGGCAACTGAATCGTGTACCATGAGGTTTCATAAAATTTAATAAAAGGTGAAATTATTTTGTTTTAAGTGTATGCTATAGAGTATAAATTGCAAATTTTTTCCTTTAAGAAATAAGAACTTTAAATTGAGACATATACAAAAAAGTGAAAATTTTAATAGGGAAAGTATGTACTTTTTTGAATTTTAATTGTAATTTTAAATTTTGAGTATAAATTGTGAGTGTCAATGATTAAAATTTATAGAGAATAAGACGTTCAACATGTAACTTGATTAATGGGAGAGTAAGAGGTAACCCTAGCATGCGCCCATGAGTCCCCATGACCTCTAACAACTATAAAGGACATAAGAATTTCCCAATAAAAACACGAGATCTTAAGCGTTTAGTCTTAATCTTGCAAATTATGTAAATCTGTTGTATGCAAAAAAACACAAAGTGTGATAAGACTATTAGAGCGCTCAAAGGATATAAATACTTAATTCCAAAAAGGATTCGAAGATCCTTGGATGGATGCACTTTGTTAGGAACAATATCAATCCCAAGTGTTCTCAAATGTTAGAGCTAATTTGAGTGTTAAGTGAGTTGTATGTGTTGGAATCTCTCTAATCTTGAGATGTTGTTATTGGATGTATTTTGTATTTTTTTATATCAATAAGGATGGTACGACCCAGATAACTGTCTATAGCAAGTTTTTTGAATCATTTGATTGCTTGGTATTTGGTAATCCACTCTTATCATCGCAATAAGCATAATTAAATTTCTGTAGCTAGGAGGAATCAAAGATAGTCCAAGTGCTTTTCTGATTGACTGTCATCTTTTTTAATATGTCAGCTACACTATTTAGTTTCTCGTGACAGGAATAATTTGTGCTCTTCAGTTCATGCAAACCAGCCACTTGCATTTCACAATTATATATCGTATTGATACTCTAATGTCATTATTGGTATTTTCTTGAATCTAATTCACCACCTTCTTTGAGTCGCTGCAGATGATAACATTCATCAGATTCTTTGAACAAGCCCTTTATATTTAAGACCTTTGAGGATTGTCATGACTTCAACTTCCTCTACATGGTTAGCCTGATAGTGGAAAGTAAAACCATCAATCCATTCCCTTGTCAATCTTGAATCACTCCATCCACACCATAAGCGTTGTTATTCATGCCCCATCTACGTCCATAACCATGAAGTCCTTCTCCAGTGCATCCCAAAAGATTCAGCCTGTCAAGTATTGATCTTCTTATGTAGTTTATTAGAAGAAAGCTGAAACAGTATCATCCTTATCAGTGAGAATGCTCTTAATTTTTATCCACATGGGTGGTTTATCATTGTCAAAAAGTCATTGATTCCTCCATTTCCAACAAGGCCAAGCAATCACAGCACAAAGAATGGGCCAATATGCATTGAAAGATAAAATTATGCTCTTGTTGATTTTTTTTTTCCTCCCACCATTTCTTAGTGTTCGTGTTGTTTATCTAACTCCACTCTAGTTGAAAAAATTTTATTCCAGATTTGAGAAGCTCTCGAACAGTCTCTAAGGATATATATTACATCTTCATTCTGGTGACCACAAAATGTACATTGTGTACTCTCCGTGAAGCCTCTCTTTCTCCGCTTTGTATTGCACATTAACTTACCTAAGCTAGAATTTCCATCCAAATGAAGGCTACCATTCTGTTTTATATCTTCATCTTTTAAAGTTTGGTCTACATTATCTCCAGTTCATTATTATCAAATTTATATACTTCCTCCGTCCCACAAAAAAGTTTCCATTTTGAATAGTATTTAGTCAAACATTTCCACGCTTTGACTACAAATTGTGAGAAAGGTATATTGAATTATAAAATAAATTTAATATAATTGGATTCATCTTAGGATCTAGTTTTGATATCTCAAATTTTTTTAGTATTTCTTTATTTAGATTATTTTTAATTTATGGTCAAAGCGTGTAACTGTTTGACGAATTTATGGTCAAAATGGGAACTTTTTTGTGGGACGGAGGGAGTATTAAGTACTCTGTAGATGATAAGCGAAGGAGACATATGTCACACGCAAGGCAATCATTGAGTAAGTTTCATTTCCAACCAACACTGTCTTGCTAATAATCTTTAACCATGCTATCTCTATTGATATTGTGTGTTATCAGCCACCATCTTGTGCAGGGACTTCTCTATTATCACTCTCGTTGGTCTAAAAGTATGCGTTTTTCCCAACATGCACCAGCTTTTTAGTCCCTTTCATGATGATAGAAAAAGCATTAATAATTATACGTCATTCTCCGCAACACATTCGAAACACTATGTTTCTATACACAGCTCTTGGGTTCCATCGTTTTCCGAAGTATTTAATGGTAAGGATTTTGGCCCACATTTGATTTGGGTCCAGAGTCAACCTTCACCCCAACTTTGCATGGAATGTTAGATTCAGGTGTCTAGCAAATCTGATTTCAAGACTCCCAAAATGCTTGGGTTTCATAACATGCTTCCAGTTAACTAAGTGGCATCTCAGGTTTTCAGTAGTGTTACTCCATAAAAAAATCACCTTTGTATCAACGTTGTCACACTCCTTTTTGTAGGAGTGTTGTTTGCATGGCAAAGTGTAGCAAGAACTTGCCTCCCACCAAAATAAAGTCACTTAATTTCCCTGCCATCCAATCTATTGTTAATTCTTGAGATTTGATTAATATTCAAAAGAAAGAAAAAAAATGAATAAAGAAAAAAAGTGAGACATGGCTGATTGGAAGCATGCATACCATGTGCATGATTGTCCTTTTTTTGTACTTTTTTGTTTGACTATGGCTTGATTGAGTGATCTCATTTGGCTATAAAAGCCATGAAGGCCGAGTAATAAGTGTGTGTGGTTTTCAACACACCAAGATGGAAAGAGAAACAAGAAAGAGAGTTAGACACAAGAATATATATCATCAGGAAAATTCAAGGAGTCTTGGTGATTGTGGGTGAGTGTAAGGAGTAACCGGCTCTTAGTTACTCAGAAAAATACATCCAGGTATAGGATGTGGAAAAATCTGTTTGTGGGTGTGGATTTTAGCCTTGTAAACAAACGGAAATTTTTTTGTATATTATCTTGAAATAGTGAAAATATTATATTTTTCTCTCATATATTCTTTTATATTTGTTCTCTCATTTTTTGGTGTTTTCAATATTTTTGGTGTCTTGCGCGCTTAAAATCCCAACAATTGGTCTCAGAGCTTGGTTGTGCTAGAGAGGAAGAATTTTTAAGCAGCAAAAGGAGAAATTTTGAGAACCTAGGGACTGGCCGGCTTGGGCTAGGAGGCGACCATTGGACTTCAAGAACAAGGTGAATGGCATTGGGATCGGGTACCAAGCAGCGTGCTAGCTTTGTGAAGTATGGTACGAGAACAGGTCAGAGGAGACCCGTGGTCTAGCGAAGTAGAGATCTGCGATTTATGCCTTGTGTAGAAAGTCTTTCCGGCAGGAGGAGATCGGGCGGCGTGTCCCACAGGTGATGTTGCGGCAGTGCAAGGTGGGTGGATCGAAACAAGGTAATTGTTAGAGGGGTTGTCTTGAAGTTGTTAGTCCTGGTTTGAAAAAAAGTAAATTGTTTTTTTTGGCTCGAGGTAGAGGGTTAAAACTCCAAGGAGCTAAGATGGTGGCGGTGATTTTGACGGGTTGGCCAGGATGGAGTCACGGGTACAACGGTAACTTGAAGTGGCGGGGATCTTGTGGTATCGAGCAAGTTGGAGCCCCGGAGGCAACACATCGTGACAGAGATCTTGCGGTTTTGAGCAAGATGGGGTCACAAGAAAATTTTTAATGTGGCGGTGATCTTGGTGAATTGATCGAGGTGGAACCACAAGGATTTTTTTCTTTAAGGTTGGCGGTGATCTCGAGGAGCAAATCGAGATAGAGCCAAATGTGTTTTTTTCTTTCGGGATAGCGGTGATTTCACGGGACATGTAAGGTGGAGCTACAAAGTTTTTGATTATTTAAACAAGGTGGAGCTTGTTGAGATTTGATTAATAATCAAAGGAAAGAAAAAAAATGAATAAAGAAAAAAAAGTGAGACATGGCCGGTTGATTGAGTGATCTCATTTGGCTATAAAAGCCATGAAGGCCGAGTAATAAGTGTGTGTGGTTTTCAACACACCAAGGTGAAAAGAGAAACAAGAGAGTTCTACACAAGAATTAGAAAAATCCAAGGGGTCTTGGTGATTATGGGTGAATAGAGGAAGTAATTGGTACTCCGTATTTAGTTACTAAGAAAAATACATCCGCGCATAGGATGTAGAAAGATCTTTTTATGAATGTTTGGTTTTTAACCTAGTAAACAGAGGGAGATATTTTTGTATATTGTTCTAAAATAGTGAAAATATATTTTTTTGTTCTCTCATTTTTCTGATCAATATTTTCGGTGTCTTACTCACTTAAAATTCCAACATTAATGAGGTATAACAAAGGTGTGGACAAGCTAGACTTTGTGCTCTTAATGCATGCGAGCTTCGTGATGCCTTTTGCATCCTGCGGACTCACACAAGAAAAAAATGGAATTGGCTTATCCTGTCACTTATAAGTATCATTTGATTTTTTTAATTATATGTTTTTTTTATTTTTTGGAAGTTAAATTTATTTATTCACCCCGTTTAATCTTAACAAAATTTTTGAATCGATAGAATTGAAAATAAAATCAATCAAACATCATGAATCATGTGTCAAAAATCCAATGGGAGATCAATAACGGTTTAAAGCATACTATGCTCAGTTTAAAAGGCATTTCATGAAAGTTTTCCATTGCGTGGCTGTCATTGGCATTGAGACCAGACCATTCTTTCTAAGGTTAAAACATACAAGTTATACAGCAAAATACAATGAGCCCATCATCAATAATTCAATGCAAGGTGACAGGATGTGTTTGAGATCTCCTCAACCTTCCTCTCCAAACTCTTTTGTGAATCTCTCATGCACGTCGAGATCTGATTTGCTAACCGTCGGTCTTTGACGTGCAAGAACCTTGTCAAAATCTGTCTTCGTGATGGGCGGTGGAATGATCTGCAAGCAGAGCAGACATAATGTCATTTGTTGTTTATCTAGTGAGACGAGAAACTCAAATGCTCCATCCAAATTAGACATAAAAAAACAGGGAAAGGATGCATATTAAAAAGTATTAATGTGAAAATATATGGGTACGAATTGGACAGAAATTGAAGCAGTAGTGCAAAAACAACCAAATTACTTTGCACGTTAAGTTTTAATGTGTAAACAGCCAAAAGCCTCCTGTGTTAAAATAATATATATACCTTAGAAGCAAGCCCTTTGGCAGCAAGCTCCTGCATTGTTGTCTGGACAGCACCTGATTGTTTCGGTCCACATGGCATCCATGTGCCATTGGAAGTCTTCATGAAGAACATAGCGTCTTGTGTCTTGCGTACAGGTTCAAAAAGGACATCCTTAACCTATTGAAGATACAATACAAACAAGAAATATAACGAAATGCCATTTTTTTATAGATGCACGCCAATGGGGACCATTAGAGCAAACTTACACAAACTGATATATCTGAACCAGAAAACCCTTCTGTTTTACGGGCCAAATCTTCAAAATCACCTTCACTCAAATTGTGAGGGGTGTCTCCTAAATGAACCTGAACAAGGAGGCACAGGTTATAACATAATTCATGAAGAGAATGTTACCACAAACAGCCAGAAGAGGATACAAAACTGCAGTCACCTTGAACATGTGTTGTCTTGCTTTTAAATCTGGAAGAGGAATGTATATCCTCTTATCAAATCGTCGTCGGATTGCCTGTCGAAAAAACAAAGCATGAATTAAACATAGAATCAAAATGGGTATGCAGTTATATTTTGAACTAATTATTCCTCACCTGATCAAGAGCATATGGAGTGTTTGTGGCTGCAAGGACAAGAACTTTATCATCATTATGTCCAACCCCCTATAAATATGATGTGCATAGATATAAGTATCAAATTAAATAATCTTTTAATTAGCACAAGAATGTCCCTAGCAGAACCAGACAAATAGAAACTGATCCAGTTTGGTATAAGAGACAAAAAACCTCTCACTTTAAAAATATCGAATTGTATTACTCTCATCCCTCTTCAGTCTTCAACTCCTCATACTTCCCTTTTATGTCCTACCAAAATTACCCCTCCTTTCCTTGACAGGAAAGCATTGCGATTGAGATTGTTTCTCTTCCTTCAAGATAAATCTCAACAACATATTTATTTTCTCAAAAAGCGAGCCAAGTCATAGTGTGAAACAGACAAGGGATAGAATGAGTAATCCCAAAATAAGGTTCCTAGTTTCCTTTGTAGGTTGTCCCAAAATAAGGTTCCTGTTTCTAAAAAAGAAAACTTTTAATATGAAATGACAATATTGCCCTTGATACTCTTCCCATTTGATACTCTTGTATCGTTCGACAACCATAGTAAATTATTGTCCTCTGGTTTCTATTTATCACCTCTAACCAAGCTTCCATTTTATACTCCACAACCAAGCTTTATCATTTGTTGCACTCTTTCCCAAGAAGCGACAACAAATCCTTTGGTTTCTCTAGTAGACGGAAGAAACGACTTTCATGGCAGTGCATCTTATGGCAGTCTAGGGCAGCAATGGTGATGAACGGATCTGTTTCATTTTTTAAGATGGTGTTGGTCCGAGCCATTCTCTCAAAGATAATGTTTGGTTTGGTGGATTTCATGATGGTGGTGTCAAATTTGGAGATTTAAGCACATGGCGGGCGATGACGTCCCTGGGTAGCAATTTTATTGATTTCGACTCTACTGCATTCCAATTTTGTTTCATTCTTGTTGCTTTGTTTGTATGCAGATTGAAAAACTCAAATTTCTACATTGCTCCTTTCTGTGGCCGGTTGAAATACAGAGTATATAGCTGCAGCAAAAATTATTTTTAATAGTCGGATCTCATCATCTCAAGGACAGTAAGTCTCAAAATCCCGGTGGTGACCATCCTGTAGTGGTGGTTATGAGGGAGATAACAGAAATTTTGTCTGTGGCTGCGATGGAATAGGGTTGAGCATCAGATCTGACTGATGATGAAATGTTGTATGAAAATGAAAGTAATGAAGGGGATATTGGGAAAGGCAACAAGTTTTTTGCCTTACCATGATCTCCATGCCCGGTCAAGCTAGGAACATTAATTCAAGACGGAGGGAGTATTAATAACAGTAAAATCTAGCAGGAACATATTGTGTTCAAACTTTGGATTCTGTAACATGATTAAAAACACAAAGTAGCAACTTTGTATGGAACATTCTACCCTTTTTTTCTTGATAAATGCAATCTTAACACATCAAGAGAAGTGTGGATTTGAAAAAAATAAACCTCTCTGCATTTCTTTATCCCCAATTTTGGGAACAGTGGGGTTTTTTTGGCATCATTTACCTGCATCTGCACGAGCAGTTCTGTTTTAATGCGTCTTGAAGCTTCACTCTCATTTCCTTCTCCACGCTGCCCACACAAAGAATCAATTTCATCTATGAATATAATAGAAGGAGCACTTTCACGCGCCATTTCAAAAAGATTAGAGACAAGCTTTTCACTTTCCCCCATCCACTTGGAAACAAGGTCTGATGATGATACACTGCACCATAACATATATTTGTTTATAGTCTAAGTTGTTTGAGCATGTAAAAATAATCTGATATCATATGTATGTATGCAACAACATAAATAACCCAGCTTTAGTCCCAAATCATTGGGGATAAGTATGAATATATGGGCAAAATGATGCTTGAATGAATCATGCCTAACCATGAACATATTCACATGAGGCGACTTGTAAATGGACATTGGTCAATATTTAATTACAGAGTTACAAAAGAGAATCAGCATATACCTCAAAAGTCTTCCAGCCCTCAAATTACCGTATTCTATAGTTTTGTAGGCAAAGAGATTAAATAATTCACCAAGAGATTAAAAGAACCAAGCCAACCCACAAAGATTCTCACAAATGATCCCAATTCACAAAACTATTGGACAAAGTGCAAATGCACAGAAACAAAACTAGTAAAGTTAGATGACTTGAGAAAGAAGGTTATCATGTGTTATTGACAAGCTTATAACATTATACTGCGAAGTGATACGTCCTAACCTCAAATTCTTATTTCATATATTAACCCCACCACACCCAGACAATCTATGTAGTAGAATAGAAAACAAGTCAACAGCCTAGAAAAGTCTGCAATATACAGAGATACCAGCATCAGAAAAAGAAAAGGTATGCTCAAAGTTTTGATAGGTGCAATAGGGATAAAAGGCTCTCAAGACTGCTTGAGGAGGACTTTATAGGAATTATTTATTGCTGATAGGATATGTTTTGACAACTGGACTAGATACCACTTTTAGGTTGCACATAAGAGGGACATATGCCTGAAAAATGTTGACTCTGCTTCAGTAGCAACAGCCTTCGCTAAGTAGGACTTCCCAGTTCCAGGAGGGCCATATAAAAGAAAAGCTCTCCACGGCCGTCTCTTGCCTGTAACGAGAAAAGGGGAGAAATAACATGCAGATACTGATGCACAATAGAACATATGAAAATACATATATAAATAATCAAAATGTGATAATTTTTATCAAGGGATGCTGTACCCAACACAACTTTTCTTCTATCATAAATGCAAACACATATACAAATTGTAAATAGTATATACATGCACTTATATATACACATACATATGTATTGCATTAGTAGTGTGTGGGTGATGTATACACACAAACACACACTACTAATGCAAAATAAATTATCAAATAGACTGCTTTCCCCTTACTTTTTTTCATTTCAATGGGGCAGATGCATACGATAAATTAAGCCAATGTTGTAAAAATAAAAGGCATAAATGAGGCATTTTGCTTTTCCGAGACAATGTGTAAGCCTCAAGGCAGTTCAAGGTGTAAGTCTCAACTCAAAGACTATATACTACATTTAAACAAACAATCTAAAAAAAAGTAAAACAAATGGATGATAACAATTAAACTGAAACACACTTGAATGCATCCCGTCAATGGTTTTCAAGTTTTAAAACATATAGCTTCAGCTAAATCAATTCTTAAAGCATAGATCGCTTGTTATGAAATATGATTATTAATATCGTGTGTGTATCTGTGCCATTTTGAGGAGAAACTCAAAAGAGCCCATGTGGACACACTTAATGTGCCTAAATCGCCATTGTAGAGAAAAAGCTAAAGGATCTATTTGGACTCTGTGTGCCATTAATGAGACCTAAGTGACTTTAATTCCATATTTGGTAATGTGGTCACATTAAACTAATTAAAGATCAACAAGAAATATTTTTAAATAATAAAAATAAAGAGCTGTAAGCCTAAGATAGCCTCATCGTCTTAAAATTTGAGGTGTACACCTCAGCCTTAAGAGGCATAAGCCTCAGAAAAGTACAAGTCTTGAGGAAATTTCCTTTTCCTATTTGACCTGAGTGATTTTTGCAACATTCAATAAGGACCAAAGAAATGAAGCACGGGCACTTTTAAAATGATGAAGTATGCACATTAGTCACACTTAGGACATGCCTTCCATCATCTCCAATGGAGCCAAAGGTTCAATATTTCTTTTGCTTTAGGTATGACGGAATAAAGCAAAATGACTCTTTAAACTATCTGCACTTCTTTCAATAGTGAAGGAGCAATTGGTCAATGCAACTTTCGACACTCATCAAGGGACATCTAGAAACAGCCGCTCATGTTTTAAACGTAGGGGCGGGAACCTTTTAGGCATTGAGGTAATGTTGTTGTAGACACACTCGGGGCATGCCTAAAATGAATATCCATTTTTTCCTAAAATGAGGCCATTAGAGGACATTTCATGGATGACATTTTGGGAGTGGAGTCTTCTTTAAACGGCTATTAGCTTATTGAACCATAGTATTAAAAATCAAAACCGTGGATCCCTCTCTCCTGTTTCAATCTTAGATGCCTTCCGAATAAAAAAATCAACCTGAGCTCTCTTTAAGCATTTAAATCACAATTGTTTTACAAACAAAAAGTATAAGAAGGTGTGCGGAATAATGATTACAGACAACCAAGTAGGTTCTGACTTGATCCAATGGTATTATGAGAACAATTAGTTGTGTTTGGGATTCTAGTTTGAACACTTTATATAATTGATGTACGTCCCATTTGAACTGATCAATTACACAAACCAGATTAGTTTGCAACTAAGAGCAGTGGGCTAGCATCTTGTGAAGTCCTAGACTCTGTAACTAAAGAATATGTGCTCTGTATGTGATCAGTCACATCAAGTCCCTTGAGCACGGAAATGAGGGGATTATATTTGAAGATGTGATGAATATATGGGGAACTGCATCTTCTTCTCCCCTGGAGACCAAACACTATTTTTACAGAGATGTGCCCTTTAAATGATTTTTTTTGCGCAGCACTATAGCAATTGAGAAAATAGTAAAACCCTGAACCTGCTTGAAAGCAAGAAAAGTCAGTAAGATAAGTAAAAGAAACCGTTGAATTTAAAGATAGGTGAAGATGTCGTCACCAGAGGTGGTTCGGTGACTGGTGACAGTCATGAGGGAAGGAATGAACCTACAAGCATTTGCGAGATAAGCTTCTTACTAAAATATGATGACTTGAGTGCTAATTGGAATCAAATGCTCGCGATGTGTTCAAAACGTCCAAAGTGCAAAAATGCTTTCTTGGTAACCATGATAACACGATTCGATATAATACTACTCTGTACTTTTTATCTTAAAATTTTAAAGTATGCGTAGGAAAATGACTTACTAAATCACTAAACCTATGACCTATCTTTATCAGCCAATATAATCCAAAGTACACAAGCCTCTAAAGTGTGACTCCAAAATGGGATTGTAGGAGATGTTAGTCCAGTACACCAAAGCTACAAATAAAGGTATTTGCTACTCCCAATAACCTCTACACATTTGACTTGCTCAAGAAGCTGAAATAGCATCTACACCCGAGAACACAAGAGGTGCTGTAATAGTGTAATACATCCCCTAACCAGCTGGCCAAAACCAAAATTTTCTCAAAGCAAAACCATAACATAATCACATAACTCATTTGCATCTTGAGGAAGTTAATCACCAATAGCTTGTGCCAATTTTCCTTGTATCTAAAGCGGAGTTATTTCATAGTACAAAATAAGAGAACCAGTATAAATAAATACGAATAAAGCACTCAACTTTATCAGCAAAATGTGGCTTCCTAAAGGCATATAATCAAATGAAGAATGCTAAGATTAAGCACGGAGCTTTATAAGGCCTTACCAGTGAAAAATTGGGGAAACTTGACAGGCAAAATCACAGCCTCCTGCAAGGCCTGCTTGGCGCTCTCAAGCCCAGCAACATCATTCCACTTGACATTAGGCTTCTCCCTAATGATAGCAGAGTTCAATCCAGCCCGGAGCTTAGCTTGATCGGGATCCTCCCCATCATCCCCATCCTTGGGTTTGGCCTTCGGCTTCGCGGCCACAGCAGCATCCCCTCCGTTGGAAGCTGGGCCTGCGCCACCCTCATCTAAGACGGCCCGGATCTCCTCTGCCCGGCGCAGGTACTCAGTGAACTTCTGGGTGATTGCCTCCTTGATCTTAGGGTTCTTCTCGTACTTGAGGTGGGTCTTGAAGTATTCCAGAGCATTCATGTACAGCGGGAAGGCCTTGGCATAGTTCCCCGCATTGTCTTCTTGCACTGCTTGCCTCACGTACTCGATCGCTTGCTCTTTGAAATTACTATACATCCTCGACTATACAAATCGACACATGAATCGATACAGTGTGCAATTTGAAACCCTAGTAATCGAGATCAGTGCAGGGGAGAGAGACCTGCCTTAAAGAATAATTGAATGAAAATGCGATTCCATGAATGTTTGGGGCAAAGGTCAGAAGTTGATCCGATTTTGAATGTGTTATGTTAGATGTAACGTTTACACGGCAAAAGTCCTACCCCTACTTGGGTTTATTTGAACATTTTTCACTTATTTTAATTATTAAAAATTATTTTATTTTTTTTAATAAAAACAAATATACTCCTTTAAAAAAATCTTCTTTCTTCTACCAAAAAATAAATTAAAAAAAATTAAAGAGGGAGATGCGCCGTGCACTACCTGCCATGCTTGGCATGGTTGAATGCAAGTCCGACACGGGCAAAAGGGAAAATGGACTAGCGTGGCAATGACAAAGTCACGTCATTGCCAATGCTCTTAATGTGTAGCTGCTCCCTACCCACTAGCACTATATCAGGTACCTTGTCATTCAGGTTTTGTACTTGCCATTGTAACAACCATTTAGATGTGATGTATTAGCTATTGTGTGGGTAGTTTGTGTGTGTGTATATATATATATATATATATATACACACACACATATATATATGTGTGTGCGTGTGTGTGTGCGTGTGTGCGCGTGCCGAAGGCTATGTGTTTTTTAATGATCTTGGGAGTTATGTGTTTTTTTATTGTTAAATTGATTAATTATTACACTTTCTCCTTGCAATTATTTATTACGGAGTACTATTATTATTATAGTGATGATTTCTATTACTTTTAATTGTTTTTTTTTGCATTTTTGCAGTTTGTAATATCAATTTACACATCATTATATTTAGACAAATTGCCATCAATATTATTAAACAAATATTATTATTAATTACTACATATGAATTCAATATATAATAGAAAAAAATCCATAGTGAAAGTTACACAATTTACCTAGTTAATTATCTAACCCAATTAACTACCTGATTTATTAAAAAAGACGTTACTCAGTATTCCTTTGGTCTCGACATACTTAAAAAGATAAAACCTTTTTAGACAAAATTTGAAGGATTTATTCCCCTAATATTTGAAGGATATTTTTGTCTTGAGCGGTATTGATTTAGTAATATTAGAACTATGAGAGACAACGACGTAAGTTTTGAATAATAGGGGTAACAGTGCCTGTTTACCAAACCACATGAGATGTTGGTGCAATAAACTCTATTTTTTTTAACAATGTAATTTATACCGTAGCATTTTTTATAGTATACCAATTTGTAAATACAATAATGTTAGAAAGAATGACATTTTGCATGTTCTTCAAAATGATAAGTTTATTGTTAAACAGAGAAAGTAATTAAAATTGAAACAAAGGTAATACTACCTCCGTCCATGAGTATTTGTACGGTTTTGACTTTTTTCGGTCAATCATTTTTAAGTTTTGACTTATAATTAAATAAAATATATATTAATTAGATAAAATAATATTTTGAAAATATTTTATATAATAAATTTAGTAAAACTAATTTTGTACCAATGTCTAATATCATTTTTATTTAATTTGATGTCAAAGTTTACTAATTTTGATCGAAAATGCAAAAATTGTACAAATATTCTGAGACGGAGAGTATATTTTTCGCAAATATTTTTATTACAAATTTTAAAGCTTATATCATTTCTTCTAAATTACAAAAATATCCTAATATTTGGAAGTGGGAAGCCCACCAGATTTACGAGAAGGTATATGGTACAATCGGATGTATGATACATCCGAGTAGTACTCATTCTGACGCAGAGTAGTACTCATTCTTGCACAAATATAATTAGCGGATACTCATTCTAAAATAATACAATACTCATTTTCACACATTGTTCAATATAATTATAATATTCATCTACAAAAATGTAGTACTCATTCTGAAATACAACAATACTCAATCTCAAATAATTTAATACTCATTCTCATCTTACTATATACAATGCTAGGATGCACTTTTGAACAGTGTTCTCGCCCATTTCAATGGACTAAATTGGGCCAATTTGGGCTGGGTCACAATTGGGCTGGTGGACGGGTTTTGAGCCTGCCATTGGGACGGCTAGTGAGATGTCATATCACTCCTTTTGAAATGATTAAAGTGGTGCACTCCTCCATAAAGTATATTAAAGTATTGCGTGGCTCCGTAATGTAGATCCACTTTATTAACTTTATGTCTAATCCATATCTTATTCAATTGATTCAAAAAATCTTTAAGTACATGGACATTAAATGTATTAGTTTAAATTATCTCCAAGCCCAAGTATATATATCCGAATATTGTGATAGCATACACACCAACTTTCCCACATGCGCAGAGGTGATTCCATAGAAGTATCTTCCATGACCAACATGTAAATTTTTTTTCTATTTCTTTCACTATATTTCTGTATATACATTTCTTATGATGATATATATTGGCATGTGGTAATATTTTAATATATATATATATATATATAAATATGTAAATATAAATGAGTATATATAACAGATCTATATATAAGTGGTCAGAAAATGTATGAATTATATATATATATATATATATATATATATATATATATTGTAGTCATACAGCTTGGTACATATATACATATAATAATATACAACTAGCATTTCACCCGTGCGATGCACGGGGATTGAATGTAGCAATAATTCGATATTAATATAAAATACAAATTTGTACTTTAAAAGATATAATAATATACAATAGAGGCTCAGATTTTATAATCCGGTTTTAAGATTAAGCAATATAAGAAACGAAATCACCATGGCTGCAACAACGGGGGTTAATTCCATTATGCCACACCAAGATACGTTCATTTTCTTTGATGCCTCAAACATTAAAACCCTATAAATTCACTGTAAAGGATTTTAGTCCTTCCATATCATCACAGCCATATATTCAGACACACACACACACACAAAAATTATATGTTTGAGGCAATCTAAGAAACATAATCACCATGGCTGCTACAAAGGTGATTAATTCCGTAGGCCAAGATATGTTCATTTTGTTTGATGCCTCAAACATTAAAAGCCTAAAAATCACAGAAATTGTAGAAAATAGTACCCAAAAAAGTTGTGTAGAAATCAATTATGTGATGAAATTGTTCTGCAGCAAAAAATTGAAATTGTTCATATATATATATATATATATATATATATATATATATATATATATATATATATATATATATATATATATTGATTTCGAAAAGCTAATATAGCTTAAGGTGCTCTATTGAAGTTCGAAATGTTGCTTTAAATTTGCAAAAACCCACGAATCTTACACGAATCCGATTGAGCTTTCAAAACAAATCAAAAACAAAATGAACCTCTTGATACTCAAAATAAATGCAAAAAAGCAAAACAAAACTAATCGGACGTTGACGTTCTAACCACATGAGAAAACACCGCAGAGAAGAGATCATAGCCTGCGTCCCCTCCTACCACTCTTTCTACGAGTGCTATCAGTTGGAATTGGAGTCACATCCTCTATACGGCCAATCCTCATGCCTGAACGAGAGAGGGCTCGGAGGGCAGACTGAGCTCCTGGGCCCGGAGTCTTGGTCTTGTTGCCACCTGTTGCTCTAAGCTTAATGTGAAGCGCTGAGACTCCAAGCTCCTTGCATCGTTGAGACACATCTTGAGCTGCGAGCATAGCTGCATATGGGGAAGATTCATCCCTGTCAGCTTTGACCTTCATCCCACCAGTGGTGCGGACCAGTGTTTCGCGACCAGATAAATCGGTAACATGGATGAATGTGTCATTGAATGATGCAAAAATGTGAGCAACCCCAAATACCTATTCACCATCCCTAACTGCTGGCCCAAGGGTCACATTATCCTCCTAGACACGATTTAGGATGGCAGAAGGAGATTGGTTGGAGCTGCGGCGCGCTACTACCGACGTTTGAAAACCCTAGTTATATATATATATATATATATATATATATATATATATATAGATTTTGGTTCTGGTGAGAATGCAATCTTAGGAGAGAAATGAGAATGAATCTGGTGCTTTAGATTGTAAGATCTAAGGGTCAAGATTTCATCAAAATTAGATGCACCAAAATGGTTCGAAAATGCATCACGTCGAAATGCACCATAAACCTTCGAAAATGCACTATCTCAAAATCTGAGCGCAAGATGCAATCTGAGCCGCATGATGCATCAGATCTGACGGCTAGATTTTATTCTTATTTCTCTCCACAAGGTGCATTCTTACGGGAACCGGCCCCTATATATATATATATATATATATATATATATATATATATATATATATATATAGGAGTCGGTTCCTGTAAGAATGCACCTTGTGGAGAGAAATGAGAATGAAATCTAGCCGTTGAATATGATGCATCGTGCGGCTCAGATTGCATCCTGCGCTCAGATTTTGAGATAGTGCATTTTCAAAGGATTATGATGCATTTCGACGTGATGCATTTTCAAATCGTTTTGTTGCACCTAATTTTGATGCAATCCTGACCCTTAGATCGCACAATCTAAAGCACCAGATTCATTCTCATTTCTCTCCTAAGATTGCATTCTCACCAGAACCAAAATCTATATATATATATATATATATATATATATATATATGTATATATATATATAGTTCCGAAAATTATATATGTAAAATGGATAATCTAAATATGTGTTCTAACACATCTTAATGAAAAAAAGATTAAATCAAAACGGAGCCGAGACTATCCAAAAACGATGGGAAAGAAACAACACATAAAGCCATACATGCATCGACGAAATGAATCGGCGTATATGGAAACCAAATACTCTAATAATCAAGGAGTACGAGAGAGAGAGAGAGAGAGAGTTACGGATGAGCGACAAAGGGAGGAAGACGAAGGTCGATCGAGACAGAGAGTGTGTGTGCGGCGGAAATGAGGAGTAGGGTTGGGAGGATTCATTTAATATTGATGGGCCGATATCCAGTGGGCGGCCAAAATGAACCATTTACATAGCTTCGGGTCAAGCACCTGTGAAATACCCAAACTTGGGCCGGCCCGTGGAGCTGGGCCTAGTTAACCTCAGGCTAAGCGCAGCTGGCAGAGTCAATCCGGAGAAGGAGACGGAGCAGATTGGCCGTTACGGAGCCGGGAAAAGGGGATCGCGCCCTTGGCGGGATAGACTCCATCGATTATGCGTTACCTTAATGGTTTAGAGCTCATGTATAAATAGAGGAGACCCGAAAGGGGAAAAAACAAGCTAAATCAAGCTAATAATACATACCCAATTCTCGAATTCTCGTTCTTGATTTTGGTCTTACGATCCGCTTTGTGAGTCGGATCATTTGGTGGATTTATTGTCCATCTGATTGGTGCTTCCATTGAGAGTTCGAGAATCATACTCAGAGGAAATCCTCCACAGAGACGATGGTGCAAACACGGAGTAACGCCAATATAGGTACCGGAGTTCCCCAGCAGGGGGAGAACAGCGCGCCACCACTGGAGGCCGGAATCCTCCCATCACCACGGGCGAGGCTGAGGCCCTCATTCAGAGGGTTGGGATCACAGCCGAACAATTCAAGGAGGTACTGGCTGCACTTGCGCCCAACCGCGAGGTTGTGGTAGAAGATGTGGCTGGGGGACCCACAGGCGGGAAGGCTGGACCTGCGGACTCGCAAGGAAAAAAGAAGAAAGTGAGGCGGTCCCAGAAGAAGAAGGCGACCAAGCCTAATGGGAAGGCGGTGATGGTGGATGCGCTTTCCAGGCTGGACGATGAGGACGAGTCGTCCTCCTTCGAGCGGATGTCTGCTTTTGACCGTTTGGGAGATCCCTAATCAAAGAAACTTCGGACCTCTGCGTTCGAACGGTTGCAAGACACTCGGTCGGCCCGAAAGGGCGACTTGAGGGACACGCTCAAGGAGAAAAGAGGGGAGTCCACAGCGACCTCCAGGATCGGTCTTGAGGAGCGACGGACGATGGTCGAGGATAAGGGCGCAGCCGAGCTGTGGAGAATGTACGAACAACTGGAGAAGCGGCTGGACGCCCAGAACCCCTACCGCCAGGCGGTCTTCAGTGAGGTAACGCCCTTCTCCAGGAGGATAATGTCTTGTCCTCTTCCGGATAATTTCAAAACTCCCCAAATCAAGGCATACAACGGGACGACTGATCCCCAGGACCACCTCGCTCGCTTCGGGGCAAATGTGGTCATGTATGCGTACCCAGAAGAAATCAAGTGTCGATGTTTCCTGGCGACACTGGAAGGGCAGGCTTGTGAGTGGTTTCACAAGTTACCCAAGGGGTCGATAGATAAGTGGAGCGACCTGGCCCACAATTTCTTGGAGCACTTCGCATCCAGCCCGAGACAAAAGCTCCCCTTCTCGCATTTGCTCAATGTGAAGATCCGGAAGGGGGAACAGCTCCGGGAGTTCATTAATAGGTGGGAGAAGGAGGCTAGGGAGCCTGGACGATCAAGCCCTGATCGCCATGCTCCAAGCTGCACTCCCCCAAGGGGATGTGCGTAAGGAGCTGCGACGGAATCCTCTCTCGACCTATCAAGAGATGTTGGCCAGGGCGAAGTACCTGGCGTTGGAAGAAGAAGATGATGAGCCACCAGTCCGGAAGGAGAAGAAAAGCGGGCCGCCGGTGGCAGAAGGAAAGAAAAGGAAGGACTATGGTAAGGGGCCGAACCCCGCCGGGTATCACGCGAACAGGCATCCTGTTCATGCGGTACAGTCGTTGCCTGCCCCTCCTCATAGTCGGGAAAGCTATGGTGTGCAAGATGCACCCAAATACTGCGAGTACCACCGTAACAGCACCCATAACACGTCGTAGTGCGTTACGTTGAAGAAGGAGATGGATCAGCTGATCGCTAGAGGGCCGCCTCCTCGGTCGGAGCGACCGTCCTCAAGTAACCGGACCTGGAGGAGGCCGCCGGCCCCCACGGCAGCGATCACAGCAGGAGAAAGGCAAGAAGATGGACGGCGGCATCTAGCGCGAGAATGTGACGATCTAGATGAGGAGGAAAGGCAAGGTCGCCGACACCTAGGGTGTCGGTTCATCATGGGAGGAAACACCGGAGGAGATTCGGTGTCCTCCTGAAAGAAGTGGAAGAACATGGTGTACCTGGCCGAGGTACAAAGGCCGCCGCTGCCTAAGCGGAAGAAGAAGGAACCTCTGATCTTTACAGACGAGGATTATCCCCCAGTCCTCAGCCCTCACAGGGACGCTCTGGTGATAAAGGTAGAGATCAATAATGTGGTTGTTCACCGAACTTTGGTCGATACGGGCAGCTCGGTCAACGTTATGTACAGCAACACCTTTAAGGAGTTGGGGTTGTCCCGAAGCGACCTGAAACCAATCCATACGCCGCTATTAGGGTTTACAGGGGATACTATCGTGGCTGAAGGAACTATCACGGTAAAGGCCGGGGTAGGAGATGGCACCCACCGACTCTGGGTCGACATGGAATTTATGGTAGTGCAGCTCGACTGTGCACACCATCTGATTCTGGGACGACCAGGGTTGGAGGACCTGGAGTGCGTAATCTCCCCCGTCCACTTGTGCCTAAAGTTCAACACTCCCACAGGGGTGGGGATAGCAAAGGGAAACCAAAGCCTGTCACGATCGTGCTACGTTAGGGCGACCAAGAGCCAAGCCCGGGTCGACGAGAATGTGAGTATGATCTGCACCGCAATCCAGAAGGAGGAGGGGCGACCACGAGCTGAACCGGCGGAGGAGGTCGAAGAAGTTTCTTTGGACCTGGTCGAACTAGAGCGGAAGGTGAAGGTAGGTAAAACCTTACCGCTTGAATTAAAGGAGCAGTTATTGGAGGTCCTCCGAGCATTCAAGGTGCTATTCGCTTGGGGACCAGAGGATATGCCAGGGGTCGACCCAAAAATCATCTGCCATAGATTGGCAGTGGATCCGACCCACAAGCCGGTCAAACAGAAGAAGCGTTTCCTTTCCTCAGAACGGAGAGAGTTTGTCACCAAGCAGGTGACCACCCTACAATCCATT